GTCACTAAATATTTCTAGATAAACTAACCAAACAATAAGCTTTTTGTAATAACAATGATTGAAAAATGATAGCATGAACTTTCCATATATCTAGAAAATGTGATTATTTGTTAAAGATTTACACTATGTTATAAAACACATTTCGGATACGGTCGGGTAAGTAAGTAGACCTTTGTTTTTTTTAGTGTTCAGAACTCAAAAAAAAAAAACAAATAATAATAGTAATAATAATAATATTATTACTATAATAATAATACTATTATTATTACTACTATACTATTATTATTACTACTATAATAATAATACTATTATTATTACTACTATAATAATAATACTATTATTACTATAATAATACTAATAATAATAATACTAATAATACTAATAATAATAATAATACTAATACTAATAATACTAATAATAATATAATAATACTAATAATACTAATACTAATACTAAATAATACTAATACTAATAATAATACTAATAATAATAATTTTTAACCAAAAAAAATTAAATGGATTTTAAGTTAAAATTTTTAACCAAACAAAAAATTTAAAAAATGAAATAACGTCGCAACTTCTTTCATTTCAATTTTTATGAATATTTATTTTATTTGTTTAGAGATGTTCACGAATTTGGCGAAAAATGGCATAAATGAAAAAAAAATGTCCCCAAAAACTTCACGAGAAATTTTATCGTCAAAAAGAAAAGACCGAAGTGTTTTTTGGTTATTTTAGTAATTTTTTTTTTTTTTTTTAATCTTTTTTAGAACATTCGGAATTTTGATTAAAAAATCTTGTTTTACTTGCGTTTTTCTTGGACTATGCTACAAATTTTAACGCCTTTTTTGCAATGAAAGATACGTTGAGTTGAAATTTCTTGCGAAAATCAAATTGTCGAATTTTAAATAAGCTTTCAGAACTTATTCGCAAATGTTATTTTTTAGAAAGTCTTTGTAAAAAAGAAAAAATTAATTACCCCTTTACTTAATTTTTTTATGAAAACTCGAGAAATTCTAAGTTATGACTTTTTTAAATTGATTATTAGTTGAAATAAAAAACAAAAGTTTTTGAAGAATTTAATCATCACATTTTTTATTTTTTTGTAAAAAAAAAAAAAAAAAAAATTAAATCAAACGATGATTTACCGAAAATGAGCTCTGAATTTTTATGTATTGTATTCAACAATTGATTATTATTTCAAGTTTTTCCGCAGTTACCGGTTTTAGTGCTAATAATGATATTTTTATATTTATTTTTGTACAACAATCCTGAAAAACATTTATCTTATTTTTGCTGTTTTTGCTTAGCTAAAGTTACATGACCTCCAATTGTGAGATTGAAAATTCTGACCAGTCACAACGCTGAACCAAGACATTCAAAAAACAAGGCAGAAAGATCCCACTTTTCCTTTTGGAGAAGTTTACAATCAAGGAAGATTTACAACAAATATGCAAACTCACAGAGAACAGGGAAGACTGGCAAAATATTGTCAAATCAGTATAAATGCAATGTCACTGAAGATGAGAGAACATGTTTAATTCATGACCTCAAATCGAAACAGGTAACTACAGTGTTCCCCTGCCCCCAAAATGCGCTCTCTAACTGAATAAATAAGAAGGACGAAGAAAGTTATATTTATTATTTATCAACTTTGCATTTTTCTACTCTCGTTTATTTTTATCAACAGATAGAATATAGATTTTTTTTAAAGTTAAGGTGTTAGTAGTACTATCAAAAATAATAAAAACAAAAAAATACTGACTTCATAAAAACTAAGTATGTAAAAAGAAAAACCAAACAGTAACACCAACACAGTGAATCAGTATTGAAATCGCGATTTATATTTTTATCTTTCTTTCAAACTTTTCGATTTTTGTTTTATTTATTTATGATTCTTATCATTTGTCTTGACTTTCTAGTGATTTTTTTTTTTGGTGGGGGGGAAGGAAAATAGTTTTTTTTTTGTTTTTTGTTTTTTAAAGTTAATTTTTTGTGAGTTTTTACAAACTTTTAAGCTAAAAAATAACAAAGGCCCCAAAGTTTTATCGTCAAAAATGTTTGTTATTAAGAGGAAGGACCATTGCCATACTACTTTTTTGCTTATTTTATTAATTTTTTTCTCTAACAGCTTCGAAATTTTAGTTAAAATAAAAAAAAAAAATAAAAAAAAATTATTTTTCTTGCGTCAGCGGGTGGACCAAAGATTAGGAAATTTTTTAACGTCATTTTAGCATTAAAAACACATTGTTTTGAAAATTCTTGTAAAAATCAAATAATTGTCGGATTTTAATGAAATTTTCAGAACTTATTCACAAATGAATGAAATTTTTTTTTTTTTTAAATCTTGCTAAATTTTTTTTATTTTTTATACATCCGTTACTTCCACATTAAATTTCGAGAAATTAAAATTTCAGCCTCTTCATTAGTTACAAGTAATAAAAGCAGGAGAATTAAAATAAATCATCAATTTGTTTTTGTTAAACATAAACACCATTTGCTGAAAATCTGCTCTGAACCGTAAAATAAAAAAACAATAAAACTATGGCATTATTTAATTAGATAATTTTTTAATTATTTTAATAAAAGGACACTTAGTGTAAGAAAAATATTTTATTAATGAATAATTAATTTTTACAAACGTTTTCATTTTTTTAATTTCAGTTAGATAAATTTATGTTTTAAATAAATCTTTTAAAATTCTGTATAATCTTAGTCTTTTAGATGATATTATTTAGTGAAAACTACATTTACTAATCATAAATGGTAAAGCTTAATAAAAATCATCAAGTCTCTGTTGAGATGATATGCATATAACCCCTTCAGTGGTCTATCATCTCTAACCTAGATCCCCACAAAGCATGTGGAGCCAATGGTATCCCCATAATAGTCATCAAGAAGTGTACTCCTGAACTGGCTTCTGTTCCTCTAAACTATAATAAATGCCTCATTGCCTCCGGCTTTCCTGGATGTCATCATCTGTTCCAGTTTTTAAGAAATCTTGAAAGCCATCTGACCCTTCCAACTATCAGCTTATGAGCCTTCTACCTCTTTTTGGGAAACTCCTGGAGTCCCTAATAAATGCTGAATTGGTTCATCATCACTCATTGCAGGGCCTTTTTTCAGACAAACAATATGGCTTTCATTTCTTCAGGTCAACTGCTGATATACCAACAATAATTGTGGAAAGAGTTATCATGCTCTAGATAAAAACAGTAAAGCACAGGTTTTACCATTGGACATCTCAAAAGCCTTTGAGAGGGTTTGCATACAGGTTTTCTCTACAAGCTGAAAAGTTTTGGGGTCTACAAACACATTTCTGAACTGATGCAGTCTTATCAAATCGTGAAATGAAAGTTATACTAAACAGCCACTCGTCTAGATGCTTTCATACTAACACAGGTGTCTGACGCTGTTTTTAATTTTCATTAATGACCTTCCCAATGATATCAGCTCTCAACTTGGCATCTACGCTGATGACACAATGACTTCTGCTTTGGTAGTAAGGCTGGTCAGTTCGACAAAGTCAAAATGGCAGCCAATGCCCAAAACGACTTCAAGTCCATTGTTAACTGGGTCAAAAGATGGCTTGTTGATTTTAACGCCTTCAAAACTGAATTTCTCTCCATTAATCATCTGAGAGACTCTTCTGTACCTTCCGTCAGCATGGCTGATGCCAATGTCCAGGAAAGTGACTTGTTTCATCTTCTCGGGCTAGCATGCTCAGCTGACAAAGTGGAAAGACTATATTGAATCCATTGCTTGGTCAGCTGCTAAGAAAGTCAGTTCACTGTGTGGTGCCAGACAATTTTTATCTCCAGAACCTATCTTACATATCTGTAAGTCTACCACTCATCCATGCTTGGAATAATGCTGCTACATATGGTCCAGTGCCCTTGCTATTAACCTTGAGCTCCTTGATATGATCCAAAGAAGAATCAGCAATACTATTTGTCCTGATCTGGCAGCTCAGCTTCAGTCACTTTCCCAATGCCATAAGGTTGCCTCTGCCTCTTTTTTATAAATACTTTCATTTTATATAGCCTCTGTCAACTAAGTTTCACTCAGTTGTCAGAAGATATATAAGACTCATGACATGGGAGCATTTTATAGACAGTGGGAGCTTACCACAATGACAAGCTAGAGAAGGTGCAAAAGGCAGACTAGTAGCACTTCATAACCACTGCTTCAGATAGATGAAACTTGTTAAACCTTGGAAGACAGTCCATCTATGAGAAGGAAAACCTTGATTTTAAAATTCTGATGCTTTGCATATATTCAAACACAGGAAAAGCTATGGAAGTAAATTCAGACATAAAATCTGGAGTGGAGCCCTAACAAAACTTCCAGCAACTCATGCAACCAAGCTGGCCCCAAATGTAATGATTTGTATTCCTTTGCATTTTATTGATATAGTTAAGATGCAGGGTGCTATGTGGTCTGGACAGCATACAGCCTTCATAAACCATTGCCCAGGCCTGCATCTTGGCAACTTCACTCCAGTCTCACCACCAAATGTTATTATGAGTGCTTGGTTGCAAAACAAAGGAACAAACAAGAATTAAATTTTCAGTAGTGTGTATTCACCAAAATTCAGTATATATACATAGTTGTTTGAAATTAGGCAAAAATTGTGTATGGTTCTTCAGTTTCTGTTGATAAGGAAAGCGAATCAGGTGTAAGAGTGTTGTCAGTAGTTTCTGTAGTTGACTGATTTTTAGGATTGGTTGGCTGAGGTTACAGTTGGGGTCAGAGGATAAGTCTGGAACCACCATTGGTGGGGTTTAACATATGTCCTTCTTTATGATTGAAATTGATAGCTGTGAGATGTTTGATTGGTTGGCAGTCATGTGATACCAAGATGTTGAAACCAAACTGCCTGGTAAGCTTGGTTGACTGGTTGATTGATCAAGGTCACAGTGGTAGGTTTATTTGTGGTAAAGTGCATTGGTTGCCAAGGTTATGGTGGTGGCAACCAGGGATTAGGTGTAGATAATGCACATCAATCAAGCAGAAGGTCTGTTGAATTGAGATCAAATCAGAGATCAATGGGTCACAATGGTAAGAATAAGGGAGGCTTGGAGTGGATAGTGAAGACATTGAGGTATTAGAAACCACTTTAGTAGTGTCAAAGCCTGCCTGTCGCCCACATTTAACTTGTGTTGAGATTAGTAAAGCTTGAGTGGGATCATGACAGTGATGGTGAACAAAAGCCTGATTTGAAACAAATATTACTTTTACTTTAAAATATTGCAAAAACGTATTTTTTTAAACACAGAAATGAGCATTTTTATGTGGTGTTAAATATCTTGATAGAAAAATTTTTCAAATTTTAATCTAAGAGGAACATGTAAAAATTACTTGATGTATATGAGCCCCATTTTATATAATTTTTTTTAACTACCTTAGTAATCTGTTTTATTTGATTTTTGGCCTTAAATTTACTGCTCTTAGTTTTTAATAATGTGTTATGCACACAAAAAAAATTAAATTCTTTTTAAAATACTGGGGCTTGGTGAATTGTAGCAAGTTTTTACATTTATGATTAGTAAATATAGTTTATACTTAATAACAATATCACCTAACTACTACAAATTAATAGAATTTTAAAAGATTTAAAACTTCATAAATTACTGTAATTAAAATTTTTTAAAATTGAAAACAATTCTTGTAAACATATCTCATTGAAAAAAAATTTTCTCTGAAAACAATAGTGTCCTTAATATATCTTATTTATAAACATAATTAAAAGCTTTTCTAATTAAATAATGTCTTATAATGTTTTATTGAAATTTTATTTTACAATTTAGAGCAGATTTTTTGTAACTGGAGTCCTGTTTTATGAAAAAGAATTGATTTAAATTTTTCAAGGACTTCTCCTTATAACTATTATAAACATTAAGCCCTACAAAAACAAATTTAGTTAAGTTAATATGGGGTAATATTTGAAGGTAATATTAACATTCCTTTACATGTGTATATGTGATATTTGCGTGGGTGTGTATACAGTATATGACAGAGCAAGATCTTTAATATTACCTTCAAATATTACCCTATATTAACTTAACTAAAATTTAAGTAAAAGAGATTACCTATCTAGAAACAGTCACAAGTTAAATTCATGAACAAAATTCAAACAGATAGAGATGTCAACTTAATAATCAATAATAAAATTTTTTAAAGACATTAAAAAAAAGATTACTAGAAGTAAACTTATATTTTAAAATAAAGATTTTTCTAACCTACTATTTCATAGAAAACCCCCAAAATTTAAAAAAAAATTTAAATCACTAACAAACATTAAATTAAATTATTTGTAGACAGTCTAAGGACATTCAAATTTATATATATATATCTTATAATCTTTATGAACCCCCAAAATAACACTTTCAAAGTAAAGCAAAATAACAACGTCTGTTTCTAGCATTTTTTACAAAGAAAATTAGTGACGTCTTCTTCTGTCTTAACTTCCTTCCCTCTTTTTCTCTCTATGGGTTTTTTCTTCTCTACCCCTTCGATATCTATATAACTTCCATTAAGTTAACCGTTTAAATGTGTCAATATCTGCTAACTCACTCATGTCTTCTCTCTCGCCCCTCACTTCCTCAATTTACATATGTTTAATACGGCCCGTCAAAAATGTGTAAATTTTCTTTTCATTTTTTGTTTGGAAGTAAAGTCTGATGATCCGCAATCCTTTTAAAAGGGCTGTTGTGGTGAAATAATTTATTACCTGGAACCTTAAAGTGATCTGTTTTTATTTAAATTATATATATATATATATATGTGTGTGTGTGTTTTCAAACTTAATAGCTCTGTTCTATTACATTGAACACATTTTAGTAATACCAGTACTATATATATATATATATATATATATATATATATACATATACATACATACATACATACACAGTGCTGAAAGGTTCTCAGCCTGGGCCACTCCCTAAATTCTGGCCAAATAAACATCAGAATTTTTTTAAATCCTTTAATGGTTGTGTCAAGATGTTTTTAGTATATCCTTATAATTATACAAAAATTAGCAGATCTATAATTAAAAACAAAGAAGTCTGTCACCATGATACAAAAATAAATGAAGTTTTATCAGTGCATTTTTCCCATGGTCCTGGTCCTATCTTCAAGACAGTAGGAATTAATGAGTTTATAGGATATAAACTCCTATATTTTACAGCCAATAAATGAAGCACAATACAAGTAAGAGACACCTACAAATAAATTCTGCTAAAATCAGTAGATACGAAAAAAACTTTACAATTTTGTACAAAACATGGCTCCAAAATTAAATAATTGGTTCAAGAACCTGATTGGATACAACAAGTGATGTGATGTGCTCTCTACAACATCTGCATGCTTGAGCTCCAAATGACCTGCAAATAAGTCAGGGATTGGGCCACAGAGTACATTCCCACCAAAAATCAGATAGATTTTGTGAGCTGATCACCGACTTGCTATAAGCCATAAAAACAGCAACCAGATCTGAAATAAGAGCAGCCAGCAGAGAGATTTGAAGCGGAACAGTCAGGACCAGATCTGCAAAAGACAGTAAACCTGACCAGCCTCAACACACGTTACCATGATAACATGTCAGTTAGCAATGATTTTCCTACATACAAAGCCCTGGTGAAGTAAGTCTTGTCACAATTCTCCTTCTTCAAAATTACTGCTAGCACTTGCAATCAACCAGCAGTCATGCACATATCATTAGCATGTGCTTCACACACACACATATTGGTGTACATATTACTCCAAACTTTGCAGGCTCACTTGCAACAAAATAACTTTAAACTTTGTGAACTCACTTGCAGCAAATCACTTTGAAATTTGTGGACTCGCAACAAAAATCATTTTTGATCACTCAAACTATTGATCTCTTCATGGCCACAGCAAAGAACATTTATTTTCAACATGTAAATATATGTACCACTGTATAAATGTTAGTGTCATATTTAGCTTGATCTTCTTTCTTTTCTGCAAAGGACATTTCATCACATTATTTTTATTTTGTGTTGTATTTGTGTACACAACACTCAGATTTTATTTTTCCATCTAAAGTCCAGGTAGACTGCCCCCACAAGTTAGAGGTACAAATCCATAATACTGAATTTATTTTCAGAAACCTATAATTAATGCTGGATTTAATTTTAGAAACCTAAAATATCAGTTTTATAGAAATCTATAATTAATACCAGACTTTTGTAGAAAGTGATAATACCAGATTTTTATTTCATTTTTTATTATATTAGATTTTACAGTGGGTATAATTGGATTAACTCACTGATCCAGAGCAGATATTTTGTTTACAAGCTAAAAATTGTGATACTTATAAAAAGTCACATATATACCTGAAATTAATCAAACAGTTATATATGATTTATATAAGATTTCATGGCTTTCCTAATACTCACTCCTTTGCTTGATTTGCGAATCATAGTAGGATGGTCAATTTGCATTGTAAGCTGGCAAGTTTTTAAGGCTGGTTGTCTTTTCGGAGATACAGAAGGAGACTTGCTTTCACACCGACTGCTGTCAAGATTTCGCACTTCTAGTCGACGAGGCTCACTCTTGTCTGATGACTGAATCTGGATATCTACTTTGTCTGAATAAAAAAATAAAATAAAATAAAAAAGGTGAAATTTATGGTGAATAATAAATTTGTCACAAGTAGTAAAAGCCTTTATTTTCTGTCTTTTTTTTTTTTTTCATTTTTCTACATATGAATGCAGCAATCACATATTAGTAAAATAATAGTTTTTTATCCACAAGCAGATATGTTACATGACACCAAGAGGATGCCTGAAACTGCAGATATTATCACAACATTCTAGACATCTGCACATACACACAGGTACAGATGTACATGTATACACACACAAAGAAAGAAAGAAAAAAAAAAAAAAATCAACCTAATACTAATAAAAAGGTGCATAAATTATTTTTTTAACTTAATATAAAAATGAGAATAAAAAAATAAAAATTTAAAAAAACAGTAGACAGTTGCTGATACCTCCTGACAAGTATGACTGAATGATTATAAAAAGTTCTGTTTACAAAATTCTGGAGTCAGGGTACTGAATATAACATCAATCAAGTGACAAATTTTATATTTGTATTAATCGTATATATATATATATATATATATATATATATATATATATATATAATTTCCAGGTAAGATGAGAACAAGTAGAGTACAATTACAACATTTGTAACATTTAATTTAAAAGAGGGCTCAATACAAAGCAGAGCAATATTATTGATTTTAGGATATCACAACGAAAACACGTCTAAATCACTACACATTTGCAGTCGTGTTTTGATGCGTAGCAATGCATCTCATCAGACAATTGTAAATTACTTCTGAGTGAACAATTTATATAGATTTAAAAGCTAAATACAGCCTCTTTTTACAAAAAAAAAAGTAGGGGTTATAAGGTTTGTGGGCTTTAATCAAATATGACCTACATTAAATTTAAACTAAGTAAAGATGCAAAAACTTTAAAATTATTTTTTTATAAATGTGTCATGACCTGTAGATTGGCAGTTAACGGCAGCCAGACATAAACTAAAGTGGATGCAAATGGTTACATAAATTATATAAACTGACAATGCCATTTCCCAAGAAATAAAAATGGGGTGGGGTGTTAATTTAACAAAATATTAAAAAATGTTCTATGCTTTGTGTTCTATGCTTTTTGATTAACCTTAAAAATAAAATATCTTGTAACACCTAAAGAACAATTAAAAAAAGACTGAGGGGGGTAGTCCTGAGACAATGAAGAGAGATGAAAGAAATTACATTAGCAGCACAAAACAACCAATAATATATTTCAAGATACATAGCTTTCTCAAAAGAAATTTATTTTTGCATTTCAAATCGTCATTTATTAAGTAACAGAATACCTTCATTATAAGAAAGAAATTTCTCCTATAGTAAGTAAAATGACTTAATATTTTTTTTCTTCATCAGAACATATTTTACAGAAAGAACTTAATCCTTCCGTTGAACAACACCCCAACTATGATTGTAAAGTCAACCCGTCTCTGAATAAGTGTATTTTTTTTTCTTTTTTCTTATTTTAAAATAAGAACTTTTCCTTTAGATATCATAGATACATTTTTCTTGACTGTATGGTCATCTATCATAGGGAATTGAATCATTAATAAAAAAAAAAAAAAAAGAAAAGAAAAAAAACAGCTAAATTTTTAAAACAATATTATGAAAGATCTGTGGAACGAGCAACAAGTGAAAAAAATGTTTTTTTTAACCTGTAATTATCATAATTCATATCTTTCACTGCATCGACATAGGATAGTATTTAGCAAGTTAGTCTGGTTACTACTCTGTACTTAACAATAGTAGAAATTTACTTAAGTTTAATTGTTTCAAATTTTATATTAATACTTTTTTTATTGGAATAAAATAAAATACTCAAATTATTATTAATGTCCCAGCTATGGATTAATTAGTAGGTCAGACTGGGCTTTTCAGCTTCAGTTGTTAACCAGTCTTGGAGAAACTGCATCAAGCTCTTTTTCCATGCATTTAGCTCCTCTAAATCAGCATTTTTTTTTAAGCATATCACCCCAGGCAAGGTGGGAGTGTCACTAGCACACAAGGGGGTTACAGAAAGTGAGAGCAAGAGTAAAGAGGGTATTTGAGGAAAGGATGTAGAGTAGTATGGGGATCAAGATCAAGGCATCAGAAGATGTCGATTGACATTACATTTGAATATTTGACGGTTATATCTATCAGGGAAGCAAGTAAAAGGGAAAGAGTTCCACTGACAGGAAGTGCAAGATAAGCTGTTGGAGTAGAAGAGACAGCTACATTTAACCGTTTTAACAGTGAAAGGGTGGAACAGAGATGCCAAACTAGTAGCATTCTTAAATTCATGCAGTTTGGGAACCAGTGAAAGTAGCTTGTCAGAGCAGTTGCTATGAAAATACTTGTAGAAGAGACAGAAGGAAGCCACAGCACATCTGTGAGAGAGTGACTGTAGACGAGATGCCAGATTAGGACCTATCACATTGCATATCCATCTCTGGATTTTGTCGAGGACCTCAAGATGAACAATGGGGGCACCAGACCATATATGGCAGCAGTATTCAGTGCAAGGACGAATGGTTGATTTGTAGATTCGAAGGATGGACTCAAGCAAGAAAAACCTTCTGGCATGACACAGAGAACCAACTTTCCTTGCGGTAGATGAAGCTGTTGATTCTACCTCAGGTCAGTGGAAAGTTTGAGACCAAGCAGGCACAGGGAGGCACTCTTGTGGAGTTGGGCTAGTTCTTTTACTTGTTAATAATTATTATTTTATAAGAAAAAAAAAAGAACTAGATCATGATTTATAAGGACTAAATGCACTGAAAGAGCTAAATCTAGCTCCAAAAGAACCAGAGTGGCAACACTGATTTTAGCATGGTTGCACTTGTTCTATCAGTATTCATCATCATTGTCTTTACTACAAGCCACACTGCAAAGTTCAATTTTTTCATCTTCAACATGGCTGCTAGTTTCTGTGCATAGCAGTCTGCTCAGGCCCATCTGTCTTTCTTCAACTCCCAGAGAAACAACCTCTGGTTTATATTACAACTATGTTGAGCAATCCTTTTAAGTTTGAGATTTTCCAAGCATAGCTGTGGCACAAGGCCGAAAGTATGGGGCATCTAGTGAGGATCGAACTCACTTTTCAGTAGTAACTGATCTAGCCAGACAAGCTTGCTAACCATTACACCACGCCAAGGTGCCCCTTTTAAGTTTAAGTATATGCTTTACCAGGGGCACATATGTTTTTGAATTCAGAGTTGTCTTTCTTTCATAAGGATTAAAAACAAAAATGGCTATGTAAAGGTAAATTAATTTGATTATGTTTTTATTTATCGTTACAGAAAATTATTAAACAAATCATGTATATGTAACCATACAATGGGTCCCACTCTCATCATTTTGGTGAATGGACAAATAACTCCACATTGTGTGTCTATTCACATTTGCATTGATGTACGCAAAAATTAGAAATGTTCTATTGTATGTTCACAAGAAAACAAAAGGAAGCAATTAATGTCCCAATGAGAAATGAAAACTTTAATCCTGTTTCCAGTATATCTGGTTGTTTATTCAGCGATTCACATACACAATTTGGGGGAGTGGATTGGTAGGCAATGCTTGTGACAACATACCAGGCAAGCAGATCAGCTTTTTCCTCCAACCAACAAGAATTCTGACTATCCTACCACTCCTCTGCTCATTTCTACATTATGATGAACAGTTGACCAATCTCTCTCTCAAAATGGACAGCATGCACCATCAATGGTCAGCCCAGATTTACCCCCAATACTGTCTATTTATATAAGCATGCAAATGGTGAAGTGCCATTTAATGTCAAAAATTTTCATTTATATATCTACTAATTTATTCCCTTTTGGTCAAGTGGGTGACTGCTTTGAATACCCCAATTCACAGACTTTACTGCTGGTCCTAAAGAACACAAAACATTGAAAACTGAGATAAAATCATTTTCGTCTATATGGGCACCCCAATCACAGTCATAGCATCTCATATGAAAAAAACATACATTAAAAGAGAATATTACAAACAACAATTAGTAATAAATGTACAACAATCGAATCCCCATTGATAAAAACTTCTCACCTAAAGAATTCTTTGAAGGTCGCCTATGGGTAAGTTCAGGACATGAAAGCCCATGGCCTTCCTTTTTCTGACCGCGTTCAGGTGTAAGTCTAATCTCAGACTCAATTTCATCCCAAGCTTTGTTGTCTGTGAGATATCCATCAGAATCAAGAGGTTCATCCATTTTTTCCTGAAAGAAATATCACTGACAGTTACTACAAAAATAAGGATTATTACTTTTTCTTCAAGAAAATGTTAATTTTATTCTAATCAGTCATACAAAAGTAAACTAAAAATTGAAACAAAATTGTCAATATATGCATCCCACTAATTAGGTTACCTTTGCAGAATATTTTATTTTTTGCATAGATAAAATTTATGAAAAAAAGATTTCAAATATGGCTTTCAAGTGATCACAGAAAATAAAAGTTCTTTTGCAGTAATATTGAAAATGAGAATCATCTTTACAGAGACTTGAGGATATATTTACAGAAATATATATCAATCTTAATGAGGGATAAAATAATGAAGAAAAATTTTAGGAGAGATATGTACACTGTCATATTTTATTATGCAAGTCAATGTTTTCACAATAAACCATGTGAATTTTAGCTTATTATATTTGATTTTATTAGAAATATCTGCAACTTGCTTGATTGTGTAAGATTTTATTATGCAACTAAAAGTTGTTCATCATATTGGAAACAAATATACAAAAATGAATACAGATACTGATATTTAATTTTTTATTATTTCACCCCAAGCAAGGCAATAAAGCCATTAAAATACAAGAGTTACATTATTGAGGATTGAGAACAATAAAAGAACATATATTAAGACAGATGATAATAATTGACATTGCGTTTGAGTTTTTTTAAGATCAAAGTTGGCTGGGAAGCAAGAAGCCAGAAGAGAGTTCCACAAATGAAAAGTGGGATAGAAGAAACTATTAGCATGGAACTAACAGTTACATCTATATATAAAAATTTCAGATATATAACAATTGTGAAGAGTCATCAGAAAGAGAAGATCAAAAGAAAAAACAAATTATTGCAAAGTTATTGAGTGATGAGAATACAATGTTAGAAATTGTGAAAAAAATTGAAAAAGAGATTAGAGAACAATCAAAAAGTGAAAACACTGGTAAGATAAGAACAAGAAAAAATTTATCTGTCTATATTTCTGAGATGAGGTATTATGTACACTATTTACATTATTCAGACTATTGTTCTAATCTTTGTCGCCATATTTATTACAACATTTCGGCCATTGTATGCTCCAGCCTTCTTCAGGTGGTTGGAATGTCAAACTGAACCATTTATTTTGCTCACTGGGGTAGACTGTTCTAGTTCCACATGCCATGTCTAATGGATGTCAGTTGTTAGTTATCTTCTGTTAATTACCCTCTCCAAGTTCTCCACTGCCTTAACCAGGTATTGAACTCACACTTTTTGGGTCTTGTCACTGGATCTAACTCAAGGACACATAACACAGTGGATAAAGGCGTTAGTTAGATCCAGTGACAGGACACGAAGAGTGCGAGTTCAATACCTGGTTAAGGCAGTGGAGAACTTGGAGAGGGTAATTAACAGAAAATAAAATGACAACTGTCATCCATTAAACATGGCACATGGAACTAGAACAGTCTACCCCAGTGAGCAAAATAAAGGGTTCAGTTCAACATTCCAACCACCTGAAGAAGGCCGGAGCGTACAACAGCAAAAACGTTGTAATAAATATGGCGACAAAGATGAGGTCAATAGTCCGAATAATGTAAAGTAAAAATGTCTTTAAGAATGTCATGTTTTGAGAAAGATTAAAAAGGTAATGATCTAGAAAAGTGAACTGACCAGAAAAAAAAAACAATAATTAAAAAAAAAAAAAAAAAAAAAAAAAATGCAAAATATTAAGAACATTGGCTAAATATATGAAAGCAATCAAATTACCAACTTTTTACATCACAAACAGAAGTGTTTAACAAATGAAGACATGCATGAAAACTGATTTCTCAACAGCCATTTTAAGTAATGAATGTAAAGCTACGACAAAGATATGACAACTGGGCTAGATGTTAGGTCCTTCATGGAAGTAGTCAACCAACACAATTTAGAAGACAATAGTGTGTAGGTAGGTTGAGTAATGATTCCAGCTAGTAACTTAGGCAGTAAAATTATAAGCCCCCTTTAAAGTTAAAGATGGTATAAAGATAAATATAGATAACTAATGTACCTGTGCCATCAAAAATGATGGCAGGTGTTAGAAGTCTTAATAGTGAGATGCAATTAAACAAAAGACTTGAAACAATGTATTGAGATTCAAGAAAACTGGTATAAAGAATTCACAATTAAATAAAGGCCAATGAACTATTTAATTAATTCATTCACTTTATACATTTTAGACGTTCAATGATTCATTGATTACTCCTCTCTAATTATGTCCAGGTTCATACAGCAAATCACCTTTCTTAACAAAACTACCTCTATTACAGTGTAGGACATTTAAAAACAACAGCAACAGAATCAAAAACAGTCGTAGTAGAAAGCTGAATATGGTTATCTAGACACATCAGATAACAGAAATTTCAAATCTAAAGTTAGACATCACTGCATCTTCAGCATTTCTCTCAATGTATAATTATAACTAAAATTTGTTGTATTTCATTCCCTTCTGCTATGATTCTATCAATATAAACATTATTTTGTTTGAAGTCCTTGTGAAAGGTGAAACATGTCACATAGAAATTTTGCCAAGTTATTTTTAAATTAACCATCAATGACTTTGTAATACATATTTAAAACACATATGAAACAGATAATCAATGAAAAAAATTTCATCTGTACTTTTTCTAAAAGATACACAAAAGTCAGTTTAATACAACAGATAAAAGAAATAATGGAATCTATATTATAAAAAACCGGGTCATTCCCTGTCCATCACATACTGCCTAGATGTGAGTTTGCATGTATATATGTATATGTGTATGTCTGTTGTGCATGAGTGACATGTGTTTAGACCATTTAATAAGCATGCACACACACACAATACAGTTTGACAGTGTTTGTAATATGACATTAAAATAATACATTTCCCTATCAGTTTGGACAACACCTACCCTAGGCTGAGCAATAAAATCAATGTTGGCAACAAAAAGAAAAATTTGATAATTGCTAAGATAGGTGAATGAATTGTTTAATTAGTACATTCCCTTTATATTTTTTAAATGTTCAATGGTATCTATAATTTATTGATTACTCCTGATATTATAATAATGCTAATATAAATAAATATCATGAAAGCACTAATTTGCATAATAAAATTTGACATAGAACAAACAAGTCTCTTTACTTACTAACCATTAGATGAACATGAACAATATATATATAACATAACAATATATATGTCTTATTGTTTCTTGTTAATCATCTATTCATAAAAATTTGATATTTTTATGAATAGATGATTAACAAGAAACAATAAGACAGAGCAATAACTATAACACAAATTTACTTTGCCTTGATAAATAATTACAAGTAATATAGTAATCTTTTTTTCTTTCAAATACATGATAACCATCAGCATATGATGCCAGTAACTTTCTACTTTCTAAAAAAAGTAGAAGAATTGTGCGGTTCTAACAATGACATAAAAAGGCCATTCCACATGTGAAGCTATTAAAAAAATATTCAAAAGAAAGAACAAAAATTACCGGAGCTTCATCATCATATTTTGCTTCATTAGGTTGGCTTGTGCGATGATGATGTCTTCGCAATCTCAAAGTTATCCTGAAATAAATTTAAATGCCATTTAAAAGTATACAACAATTAGACTTTAGTTTATATTATCAAATACATATAAATAGTGATAATTTAATTGCCAGAATGAACATAGTAAACTGCTGGGGTAAGAAGTCAAACATTTATATTTGAGCACATCTGTATATGTTCCAAATTCCACACTTATGAGATGCAATCCAGAGGAGTCATTTGTTGCCAAGCAGTAGAGGAAGTTGTACATGTTCTTGTTATATTTTTGCCAGAAAGGAATCTTGAGCTGCAGACTAACATCATGTTTTGTGTGAAAATTAGTAAATGTGTTATTAAAACATTAATCCTATTAGAAATGGCATATGGTGAACATGCTATGAAAAAACACACATATTTTTGAGTGGCACAGATGGTTCAAGGAAGGGTAAGATCATGTGCATGGTAATGCTAGAAGCAGGTAGACAAAAATATATAAAAAACAGATGCAGATTTGGATAGTGTGAAACATAGCACTCAGATAGCATAGGAAGTGTGCAATTGATAACAGAAGAATTGAATGACTAAGGAAACAGTGTGGTAGCTTCTATGAGAGAATTTTTAAAATTTTCTTCAAAGATGGTGCTATGTATCTTAACGAACAAAAATAACTTCACATTCATGTAATCTTTTGAATAATGTAGAAATGTTTGACTGGGCCACTACCAATGATGAAACATGGTGTTTTCAATATGATCTAGAAACAAAATACCAGAGCAAGCTCTGCTAAAACTAAAACATACATGTCTTGCATGCAGTTCAAAATGATGCTTGTGTGTATCTTTCATCCTAAGCTTCAACCTCTTAGCCCAAGTAAGAACTGTCAACATGTTTATTTTGAAATGCTAAAAGTATTAAAGAATCTGTTCAGAGGAAAAGACTCAAGCTCTGGTCTAAAAAATGAATTTTCCATCATGACAATGCTCCTGTGCATAATGTGTTAGAAGTATGCAAGTTTCTAGTTAAGAGATCTATTACAAACAAATAGATCACCCACCATATTCATCAAACTTAATCCCCTGTGAATTAATTCTATTTTCAAAATTTCTCATGTCCTTTGGATATCTAACCACTTTAAGTGTTGCTGCTGCAGTTCCTGTAGCATGTAAGGTTTTCATGAATTGGAATTGCTAACCCTATGCCCATTGCCCAACTGATGTTAAAAGTTTATATCATTGGATATTTTTTTAAAAGGCACAATAATATTTTTTATGAGTAAGGTTTTCATGAATTGGAATTGATAACCCAACGCCCATTGCCTAACTGATGTTAAAAGTTTATATCATTGAATATTTTTCATGAATTGATTTATATTTATTTTTTTACACTTGTATATTAATAACATTTAATAATAGTTCTACTAATATTTCTGGAAATATATATATATATATATATATATATATTACAGAATGTTCCCATTAATTTTAACTATAGACCAGATATATTAATAATCTCTTTCATATCCTGTATACTCCAACTGTGAAGACTGAGGCTACAGATGCAACATGCTAGGCAGTGCTGCTGTGGTTTCTGTTGCAAATAGGGTCTTCATGGGATGGAATCGCAAACCACATGCCCAATTGATTTAAAATGAAAAGTTATCTTTCCCCTAGTGTAGTTACCAACCAAGACTGATGAGTCCAGTCTGTTCTACAATTTAATCCAAAGTTGAAGGGAGAAGAGTCTGATAAATAAGTTGGGTGGTCCATTTGCTTTTAATGGATGTCTTAACCAGAAACTTGCAAATTTCTAACACATTATGCACAGGAGCATTGTCATGATGGAAAATTTATATCTTTCCCAAAAAACGAATTTAACAAACTAGACTGCAATTCAAACTAGGCTTTCCAATTTCTTGTTCAAAGCTGCTAATTGTTACACCATTACAATCATGAAGATCAATATTACTAATTTGTCAGAGGACCTATCATATAATTACAATAGCAACTAAATTTCAATTTCTATAGTATTTTAAGGGTTTTTCTTTTTTTTTTCTAAAGAAAAATGTCTTACCGGTCAGTAGCATTTTTTGTCAGCTTAATAGCTTGTTTAACAGAGGTAATTTTTGTTGATCCTACTAATTGAAGAATGTCATTCTGAAATAATAAAATTAAAGAATACAATTCAAATTGAAATTCAGAAATAATATTCTTTAATGTATTTTTTTTTATTATAGTTTGAATTTATTTCTTTACAGCTATTTTGAATTATTTTCTTATTCATGAAATTAATTACAACATTTTACAACATATGGAAATCAGCTTAAACAATGAATAATATAATATAAAAAACAATAATTGTTGCTAATATTGATGACATTAATATCAAACATTAAAATAACAAGCTTACCTATAGTCAGAAAAATAAAAGGCAACATTTAAGCAATTTTAAATTTACATTGATTATATTTACTGCGTGACTATGGCATAATTTTTATCTACACAATTAATTATTGTAACACATAAGAAAAAAATTCTGCTTTTCAAACCATTAAAAGTGAAAATATAGAAAGAAAGCTAATAAAAAAGAAATAAAAAGCAATGTATTTAAGAGCCTGATCTCCCTTATTTACTAATGAGATATTTCACCATTATGGTAATAACATATGCTCCTGTTACCATAAAAGTATATCACATTAATATGTAGGAGATCCCAATCTACACAACCAATATAAAGTCTCTTCATGCTTTATTAATATAGAATAGATACCTTTCTAACATCCACCTGTCCAGCAGGTGAGTCAGGTACTACACTTTCAATAAGAACAGTCTCTTCATCACAGTCAGTTTTGCTTCCCTAGAAAAGTAAAATATAATTGTTTTTTAAATTTATTATTATTAAAAATAAAATGCTTTATTTAGCAAATAAAAATGACAGCTCATGAAACAAAAACTTGATATATACAGTAAAGTTAATTTGAAAATAAGCCCAAATACATTTCATTCACAAATAATTTAATATTTTCAAAATCTTAGAAAGAAACCCCTATTAGAAATTATTAATGTTATAATTCAGCCACAAGATATCAATGTTTGAAATATTTTAAAGAAAGGCAATTATCAAGAATATATTTGTAAGTAATCTATGTCAGCTTAATACATTTAAGGAGTGAATTATTGAATCATTGCTTTTGCATTCATTTTTACACTAATGCCTTTGTGAAAGGTATGAATCAGGGTTTAAAACGAATATCATTCCATTGTCCTACCTACATAGCTATGTTTTTTGTTAAGGCAGGACTGGGATTAATTTTGCACAAAGCAAGGTGGGTTCTAACTGAGAAAGGATCTTGTCATAATAATTTGAGGCAAGGTTTTACAAGGCCAGATGCTCTTCCTGATGACCTGGAGACAATAGAACATTACTTTTGGGATGACTGGCCAGGTTTTTTATTGGATGAGGTCAAGATGAGACAAATAGTTGGAGTGTACTAATATTCTCTATATAAATAGCAGAGAAAAAATATTCTTTATATAAATAGCATAGAAAAAATATTCTCTATATAAATAGCAGAGAAAAAAATTCTTCAAGTATGATTAATGTTATTCTGAGCATAGAAATTAATTATAATATTTCTGTATAAAGATATTCAAGATAATTTGACAAAAATGTTCAAATAAAAATAAAGTTGAGATTTTTATAAAATTACAGTAAAATTTAATTCATGTTTTCTTATTTATTTAATTTGTACTCATTTCATCCCAAAAGGCAATAAAGTCACTAAGACAGAATGGGGTAAAGAAAGAATATGAGAAAAAGAAAAATATTAAGGAGAGAGAACAATAAAAGAACAGGCTTATTCGGCTTTACATGCTAAGAGGAGATAACTCATCTGTTAATATTTCATATTTAATCTTTCATATCTGCTAATACACACTATTCTTATTCATCTTTATCACTTTCATTCACTGAACCCGAGTTTGATTTTTCAATACTGTCAGATCAAGGCGAACTCTCAACTGCCAGGAAACCAGATTCATTTTTAACATGCTCTAAAACTCCCAAGAAGATGCTTCCCAATCACTACAATATTAACCTGTTCAAGTCAAGGGTCAACAATTATTTTCCCCACATGTCCCATAAAGTGTACTGCTTACTTTGTAACCCTCTACCTCAAGTGGCTCCTGGGTCTTGTACAAGGTGAACATCATTGTAAAAAAAAAAAAAAAAAAAAAAAAAGAATTCACTATATCATGTGTCTTGGAACATATTTGGTTCCCTAATAGTGATTTTTTCCTTTTTTTTTTTTTTTAACAGCTATTCAACTTTTTGCAGGTTATTTAAAGCCAGAAAATATACTTAGATTGTAAAAATCTTCTGAGATAATGATTTAGTGATACTAGTCCCTAGCTATGGATTAATTAGTAGATTAATCTATAGCTAGGAGAAGGAAAGGTTGATTCATATCTTTCCCAAGGGTATTTGCACATAAGTGAATATAACAAATTCAACAGGAATTGGAACTTGCCTCTCAAAATTTTACTTAATAATAAATGAAGTTAAAATTTAATTCACTTAATTTATAGCAAAAATAATTTTTAAATGGAAATAATATTTTAATGATGCAAATGTTATTAAAATCAAAATTTATTACATTGTGACTTGTTAAACATGAAATATACTTTTTTTTTTTATATTTAGATGGATTAATGCTAAAAGTATTACACAATTATCATCCACACAAAAAAACCATCATTGATTGAGAAAATACAAGAACAAAAATGGAGAAACAGTTATTTACTATTCGGGCTTTTTCAGAGCTAGATTAACAATTAAGTGAAATAAGTACAAGCTTACGGCATTAAGAGAAGGAGGCACTACAGAAATTGTTATACGACGTACATGTCTAAAGAAATAAGTTGAACATAATTAACATTTGAATCTGCTGGGCACCATTATGAACATGGAGACAATTGACCCATGGCAAATCTATAGTGCAGGAATGGGCTAAGGGAGATAATGAGGTTTGTATTTACTCAATACAACACATCTCCCCTCTTGAATAAGTTAGTATGACTAATTAACTTTATAGGATTTCATTTTTGTGAGCCACTGCAGGGGTAGACTATCCTCATGACTGCTTGATATTATTCTGGTCATATGCTTTATGATTCTGTAACATGCTGGTTTGTTGATTACATAACCACTTCTGGTCACAGTTTTGTTAGAATCTGGTCATGTCTCATTTGACATTAGCTGCTCAGCTGCTACTGGTTTTTTCTGGGTGGATTATCAGAGTATTGATATTGTTCTGGGTTGGAACTGATGATCAGTCTCTCTCAATGGTCATATATGACTTTGGTTCCTTTTATATTTCCAGCTGGCATTTTCATGATGAAAGTTCTCAGCTGATGCCCTTTTCTAGTACTACTCACCAAGACTCCATGCTTGAAGATGTATGGGGCCACCAAAATCTTAAGTGATTAGTGTCCCTATAGATTTTAATCCAGCCCTGGGATTTGTGTTACAATTTGTTTATTTTCAGGTTAAATCATTGAGCTTCAGTTAGCCTCATTAAATTTTATTCATATAACATGAAGTTTAAAATTTATTTCAATCAAAATTTTAAGTAATAGAGCTCTATATCTTGAAAAATAGTTAATTAAAACCTTTAGAAATGTTTAAAATTATTCTTAGTTGTTTGAACATAAATTTTTAAACCAACTCACATTATTAAAATGATGAATGTTCCATACTGGTTTCACCAGGCTGAATTGAATTTGCTCAAACTAATCTTAACAATTTTTATTTATATAATATTGTTATGACAATAAATAGTACATTTATTTGAGTTGGCATTTAAAGTTTAGAAGCTGAAACTAAAATTTGTCAGCCAGAATAAGAAGTCAAAAATGAATGTTTTATTGAGACATTGTTAGTAAGAAATAAACAGTTGAGTTACTTGAGCTGAGTGCTGAAGTTACTATTGAGATGTGTGTATGCATATATCCATTATGTATTATTATCCTGATATATAGTTACAAAATGGTGTGCTGAAAGAAATCCTTCCAAAATAAATTACAATTTTTACTCAGATTTTGGGAATTGGGGTGGGCCAAGACCTTTTCAGAATCCTGCTTATATTTTCTTACCTCCTTGAAGACAAGTCCAATCGGCTGGTTATGTCCCTTGACAATTTCCACATCAACAATTACCCAAGTTTTCTTCCTAATAATATTCATTCCCTCCATTTCAGCAGACCCTAAAATAAAATAAAAATCACTGGTTAAATAAAATTAAAACTATTTTTCAAATAAAGTTCTTTAATTCCCTACTTAAAATATTTGCACAAGTGAACTATGCAAAAATATTTAAAGTTCAGAAAGCCATTTATTTTATACATCATTGTAGAAAACAAGATATTTAAATTGTATCAATTCATAAAGAACATATTTCATCAAGGAAATAAAACCCATTTTAATTTTTTCTAATTTAAGTTTATATTTGAAACAGCTCACTTTATTTAAACCATTGCATTATGTAATGAACTTAAATATATTTCTATATATCATATGAAACAAGATGGAAAAACAATACAGATTTTATAAGTAACAATCACAGAATCATATGCAGGAAGCAAGACAAATGAAAGAGGAGTTGGACTAATATTAGATAAAATTAAAAAGGATTTGCATTGTGGGCAGTACAGGCAATTGTCAGAGTTCTTCTGATAGAACTGTAAAGGGTGCCATTCAATAGCATAATCTGAGTTGTATATCGACCCACATAAAAAAACACCAACAAAGAAATAGTTAAGTTTTTTTTGCAACACTAAAAAATGTTAAATATCAGAGCAAGTAATAAAAAATATAGCAAAGTTTAACAAATGTACCCACAAAGAATGTCAAAAGGGTAGTTTTCTCCTGACTGCTATTACTGTATACTCTTAATTAAGCTTTTTATATAAACACATGATGACAAGTAACTGGAATTATAAATCTTGAAAAAAATGCATTTTCTGGACATTTCTTTCATTTACATTCAACACAAACTCATTAAAACAGGTTGCAGTATTCATTCAAAATTTATAATTAGACACTCATCATTATGTGTATTTTTAAATTTTCTTGTTCTATCATTCAAGTTTTCATAAATCAAAAAAAATATCTTTATAATATTGTAAATAATGAATATTACATTCATATATTCTTATAACATTGTAAATATAAAATTATTCTTGTAAATAAACAATCTAATAAAATATTGTTTATATTCTTTTGCAGTCAATTCTCAAGATCAAGAAATTATTAAACTAGCTTCAGGTGTTTGAGTTTTATTAAAATTCTAAAAATAGATTCCTAAAACAATAAATATTACCTAAAGAGTATACAGTAATAGTGGTGACAACAGAAAAATTGACCTTTTGATGCATTCTTTTTTGTGTGTACATTTGTTAAACTTTGCCAAAACTATTACCATGGGAGACCTATATACAAAAGTAGGAAGAAAGGGACGTGATCGCTAAATATGGATTTGGATCTCATAACAAACATGGAAAAAATAGGTTTACTTTTTAACATGGACAAAAACCGATCTATTAATTGTCTACAAGAACCCTTTCTGACTTCCATCAACATGCACAGTGTTAACCTCCAAGAGAGTGGCTTGTTGCGCCTTCTTAGGCTAATTTTTTCTGCAGGCATAAAGTGGAAAGATTATACCAAAACTATATAGTTAGAGATCCTTGATCCTTGTCAGGTCTGCTGAAAAGTTGGTTTTCTATGTTGTGCTAGACTTTTTCTGTCACACAAATCTATCTTACATATTTACAAGTCTACCATTCATCCATGCTTTGAATATTGCTGCCACATATGATCTGGTGCTTTTGCTATATAGTTAGAGATCCTTGATAAGATCCAGAGAAGAATCTGCAATGTCACTGGTTCTGACCTGGCATCTTGGCTTCAGTCACTTTCCCACAGCCATAAAGTAGCTTCCCTGTGCCTTTTCTATAAATACTTTCATTGTAATTGTTCTGATGAACTTTCCTCTATGGTACATAGACTATGAATATAAGTGTAGTATGATATTGGGGGCAAGATCTCATACTTTTACAGTTGAAAAGGCTAGATGTAGCCATAAGTTCTATGCTAACAGTTTCTTTTCTCACACTTCTCACTTGTGAATCTTCTGGCTTTTTGCTTTCCAGTAAAGTTTTATCTTCAAAAATTTAAATGCAATATCAATTGTTATCTTGTCTTTTTAATTTCTGTTCTTTTATTGTTCTCATTTCTTAATAAAGTTTTGCTTATATTTTTTCACACTTAGTAAATCCCTGCACATCGTTGCCTTGCTTAGAGTGCCTGCACGTTGTTGCCTTGCTTGGAGTGAAAAGATTTTAAAAATAGTATTAACCTGCTTTGAAGAATATCTAAGATACATGTGAACTTAGAAAAATCCAACAGTAAGCATTAAAAACCAGACAGACTATGTAAACATCAAATAACAATTTAGAAATGAAGTTTGTCACCCTAAAACATACCAACGTGCTGACTATGAAAGTTAAACCTCCCAGATATATTCATTAAAATTAAAGCCTACCAAAGCATAAACTGTTATACAACGAATTCCACAACAATTCCATTTGCAAACACATGTATTTGCAGTTAAAAATAATATTAAAACTCTGGAAGAACTCAAAGTAAAACATCCTAAGGAAAGTAAGAATTATTTAGAGCAATGGAAGACTGAAAGTTGTGGGAAACCATAATTATCCACATCCTAACAAAATACGGATCAAAGAAATACAAAGAAATATATTCAGTTTCCTATTATTCAATAAATCAACAAAAATTAAATTGATTTAACTTTTTGACTGACTCAAATTTTGGCCCTGATGAGCATTTCAACACAAAACTCTTGAGTCAGTCAATCAGATACGTCAATTGAACTTTTGATTTATTGAATATTATAGCTCGAGTCATCTATTGAGTGCTTTTTGTCAGAATTTCTGCTGACCTGGAAAGTGTTAAATTAACATTATTTTCATATATTTTTTCAATTATATTATTATTAGTTTCATATTATAAAATTACTTTAATTAATTTTGAATAATTTCAGTAATTTTAATTATTAATATTATGAATTATATTAAAATAACATAACACACATTAATATATGTAAAATTATATAATTTTAATGTATGTCAAGGTGAATTTTGTCAATGTACTTAATCTGGAGCAATTATTATCAAACATGAAAAATTCCAGATACTTTATATTAGAATATATTACTATTTTTTATAAATACTATTATTATTATGATTAATAATAATAAAAAACAAAATGACTGACATAACTCTTCTAATATTTATCAACACTTAATAGTACAATAAAAGAAAAGAGAAAGTGTTTAACAATATTTCAACAGTATGTTCTTCTTCAAGTTATATTTAAAAATTACATACAAGTATAAAAAAAAAAATATATAAAAATACAAATCTTTGTACAAACATCATTTGTCTTGAGAAATAACATTATACTGGAAATTAGCATTTTTTTTAATTGGGTGCACCCTAAGCAAGGCAGTAAAACAAACATTACTAAGGAATAAGAACAAAAAAAATAGAGTAATCAGGAGGACAGTGGATAACAAAATGAATGAAATGCAACTGAAACACAAGTAACATAATAGGGACGTGCTCATTTTGAAATTTTCCGTTAATTGATTAGTTAGTAAGATTAATTAACCAAACAGTTTAATATACATCTTATAGAACTCTCCAGTCTTTCTGTTCATGTCTCCAAGATGAGACATTAGTAGTTTGCATATGTGTTCATGTGTTTTAAGGGATTCGGGATATTTTTTTCAGAATGCGTATCTTAAAATATTTATTGAAATTTCAATCAGTTGTGATAAAGAATTATTATTATTATTATAAGTATGCATTAATTTCATATTTGTGATACAGTATATATTTATAAATTATATAGTTATTTTAAATTGATAAATGAAAAGCCAAAATGAAAGTTTTCTTCATCACCTAAACTTTTTAAAAAACATATGTTAAAAATCAACCACCTTACCTAGACAAAGTGTACAGAACAAAGAAACATTTGAAGGAATCTTGGCAAGCCGAGAGCAACCAATGATGTTCACTTCAAGCCAACCAACACCAAGAGGGGTTCCATGTAAATAAATATCTTCTAGTGGATGAAGAGACTCTGGTTTGAAGAAGAATGGGCGGAATCTGATCTTATAGTTGGGTAATGTGTGTTTTTTCTTCACTACCCTTTTTATCTGAAAGAGACAAAAAAGGACTTAAAAACTACATGAGAAATTTTTCTGCATATCCCAATATTAAAGTTTCACAGAAATAAATTAGTTATCTGCACTATTTATGATTAAAATCCTATATATGTTTTTTTTTTTTTTTTTTTTTACAAGAACTTATTCTGGATCAAGAGTTATTTATTTAATGCAATTCTCCTTATTTTAATCCAAAGGAATTTTTATATGAATATATAAACAATGATAAAATGATAATAATAAAACCTATTAATATAATGTAAAATTATATTATGTGCATCAAAGTGAACAGAACTTTTGACAAAAAGTGCTCAATATCTGAAACAATAATTATTGAAAAAAAATATTGACAGTTCATGATACATATAGAAGATCGACTTAAGAGTTTCATGATGTTTCTTACACTCCAGGAGCCAAATAAAAATGATTATATTTATGTATGCTAACTAAATTTCCAAATTAAAAATTTTCCTCTCTGACAACTGAAAACCCAAGTACTTTTTATTATATATGTTTCTAATTACCTTTCTAGCAGTAAACAATATATATATATGTTTGTAGGGTATATAATATATATATATATATAGATAGATAGATATGTGTGCAGGAGAGATAGATAGATAGATATGTGTGCAGGAGAGATAGATAGATAGATATGTGTGCAGGAGAGATAGATAGATAGATATGTGTGCAGGAGAGATAGATAGATAGATATGTGTGCAGGAGAGATAGATAGATAGATATGTGTGCAGGAGAGATAGATAGATAGATATGTGTGCAGGAGAGAGAGATAGATAGATATGTGTGCAGGGAGAGATAGATAGATAGATAGATAGATAGATAGATAGATAGATAGATAGATAGATGTGTGTGCAGAGAGATAGATAGATATGTGTGCAGGAGAGAGAGATAGATGATATGTGTGCAGGAGAGAGAGATAGATAGATGTGCAGGAGAGAGATAGATGAGAGAGAGATAGATAGATATGTGTGCAGGGAGAGAGAGATAGATAGATGTGTGCAGGAGAGAGATAGATAGATATGTGTGCAGGAGAGAGAGATAGATAGATATGTGTGCAGGAGAGAGAGATAGATAGATATGTGTGCAGGAGAGAGAGATAGATAGATATGTGTGCAGGAGAGAGAGATAGATAGATATGTGTGCAGGAGAGAGAGATAGATAGATATGTGTGCAGGAGAGAGATAGATAGATATGCAGGGGAGAGAGATGATGATATGTGTGGAGGAGAGAGATAGATGATATGTGTGCAGGAGAGAGAGATAGATAGATATGTGTGCAGGAGAGAGAGATAGATAGATATGTGTGCAGGAGAGAGAGATAGATAGATATATTTTAAGACATTTTTATGTTTATACATTCTTTTTATAGATAGAAATATTCAAGTATTCAATGCTCTGTTTATAATAAACAGTATTATTGCATTTTCCAAGCCATCATGTACCCAAGAAATTTCAGCTATCTCTTTCTGATTCTAAATATGCATTCTTTGTTTTAATTTTATCTAAATCCTTGCCATTGTTCACATGTTCGGTCCATGGTATCCTCAGCATCCTCCTGTAGAAACACATTTCTGCCATCTCAAGTCTCCTCTTCATCCATAAGGAGATTGTCCAGCATTTACTATCATACAAGGTGGACTAATATTGCATAAATGTTCTGTACTCTTGTTTGTTTCTAATAAAATTTTCCTGTTTCTTAGTACTTTGCTTAGCTTTTGGAATGCATATTTGCTATCTCAATGTGCCTTTCGATTTCAATGTCACACTTTCTGTTTTCTGTTAATACACTTTCTAGATATTTAAATTGTTGTACTTGTTTGATTTGTGGATCTCCAATTTGTAATTTGCAGGTTTCATTTTTCTATTCTCGTATGTCTACTGAATTCATTTTCTATTTTCGTGTGTCTACTGAATTCATTTTCTATTTGTATGCAGGTGGTTTGCTGTCAGTATAATTTCTTAATTATTCTTAATATCCTTCCCAAATATTTCAAGGTTACCTAGCAGTTCCAACAGTTCTTTTTGACATACTTTATCCAACCCTTTAGCATAATTTAGTACACATCCTTCTGCATTTGTATGACACTTTCTGACATCATTCTGAACATAAATATCAAATTCCTTGTTCCAGTGGCTGGGTGATGTGCACTCTATTCATCAGAATTCAGATAAGTTTTGTTATATGGCTCATTAGGCTGATTATTCAATGGATTTCACATTCATTTGCACCTGGCTTTAGGTTTCCAGTATATCACCACTCTTGTAAATTTCATTTATTTTTTTCTGTAATCTTGTCTATGCCAAAATCATCTAAGGTCATCGACATCTGTTACAATTCCATCTGATCCTGCTGCTTTGTTTTTATTCAATTTGGCCAATGTTGATTCCACTTCAGATTTTAATATTTCTGATCCTTTGATATTCCTGTGCATTGGCAGTTGTTCTCTTTCATCATGTAAAAGTTATTTGATATGAATAACTATGAAGTATTTTTCTTTCTATGATATCAATATCCTTGGATTTTATGCATCCTGTTGATGAGTATGCCTTTTGTCCTGACAGTTCTCTTAATTTTTTATGCACATATGCTTTATCTGTGATAGGCATTCTTTCTATTTTTCATTGAGTCATTCATCTTTAGCCTGTTTGCATTTGTTTCTAATTTCTTTGTGCCATAGGTTGGCATTGTTTTTTGGCTCTTAATCATCACATTGAGAATTTCATCTGTCAGCCATTCTTTTTTCTTTATTATTTTTTTTTTCGAATGATCTCATTTGCAGATGTTACTAAAGCTTCTCTCAATATGTTCCACTTCAAGTTTCCATTTTCCTTTTGTCCTTTGTATCTGCTTTTCACACTGTCCATATATTTCTCTTTCAGATTCAGGTCATTCAAGAGTTTGTCATATTGCAATTTTGATGCTACCTTGGCTCTCTTCAATTTCCATAATTTTGAACTAAGTTTACATATCAATGGAAAGTGGTTGCTTCTACAGTCAGAAACTTGGGTATGCTCTGTAGTGTAAAACTGTATTTTTGAATCTCCTACTCATAATTATATAGTGGATTTGGTTTCTCATTTCTCCTAAAACACTATATTAACTCTTTAATAAACAAGAATTTTAGATTTTTCACTTAATTTTAATTTTGTCAAACATTTTTAATTATTTTTATATATAATTACATTAGGTAAAATTAATTTTTTCATTCATACCTGATTAATAATAAAGGATGTTATTTGTGGAAAAGATTTCCCCTCAATTCTTGGTTCTACTTCAAACTCCATATGTGGTTCCTGAAAAAAATAATTTCAGTAGATAAACAAAATAATATACAAATATTCAATACGAACAAATACAAAAGGAAAACTTGTCTTTATTCATATTGTCTTTTTACAGATATATTTTTATTTTAAATCAGAATTTTTACCCAGATATTTAAATATACACACAAAAAACATTCCCAGAAGCAATTATTAAAGAAATTTGAATTAGTAAAGGAATTTTTATAACTTGTTCGTTTTATGTTCTAGTTCATTTCACATAGGGCTCTATCCTGGGATCTATGTTGTTTCTTATATTCAACAATATTTCCAATGTCATCAATTCCCAACTAAGTATTTATGTTAATGACTATCTACTATCTACTCCTGTCTTAGTACTACGTTCAACAGGTCCAATAAAGGAAAACTGACAATTGCTCATGAAAAGGATCTCCAATCGGTGAGTAACTGAAGCAAGGAATGAATTTTAAATTTTAATGACTCCAAAACAAAACTACACTCATTTAATCACCACAGAGAACCTTTTTCTGCTTGCCATCAGCATGGCTGATGCTAACCTCCAGGTGAGCAACTGTGTGTGCCTTCTTGGGCTCACATTTTCCATTGAAATTAAGTGGAGTGATTATATTGATTTAATTGCTACATCTACTGCTAAGAAAGTTGGTTCAGTGTCATGCCAGGCAATTTTTCTCATCCAAATCCATCTTGCACATTTATAAATCTACCATTAAATCTTACTGCCATATCTGGTCTGGTGTTCCTGCTGTACATCTCAAGATTCTTGACAAAATCTAAAGAAGGGTAATGTAATTAATCCTGACTTGGCATCACAACTTCAGTCACTTTTCCATTGCCATGGCTTCCATCTGACTATTCTAAAAATATTCTGATGGTAATTGTCTTGACGATCTTTCCTTATGGTGCTTTGACTGCATTAAGTGTGCTAGTAGATTGGCAATTAGGTCTCACTGTTTTGCTGTTGAACTAGCTAGCTGAAACCATATGTTCCATTCTAATAGTTTCTTTTCTTGCACTTCTCGCTTGTGGAACATACCTTCTGATTTACTGTTTCCTTAGCACCTACAATCTTCAAAAATTTAAAAGCACCACCAATCACCAACTTCTGTCTCTCTGGATCCTTTTTTTTCAGCAATTCTGGTGACATTTTTCAAAGTGGAATTCCACTTCCAAAATTTTTGATGACACTAAATAGCAAAACATTAAATTCATAAAGATTTTTATACTTGTTCCTTATCTATTCATTGTGTCAAATTTAATCTATATTTTCAATGCATAAAAAAATGTAAACTTGAAAAGTAATACATTTAAAACAAATAAATAAATAATGGCTATATGTCATTTGACATGAAAATCAACTTCAATATATAAAAAATTAAATAGTTCTCTGAAATTAAAAAATAAAGTAGTAGATATGCTTGCCTATTTACCAGTTCACACTCCTTCCTCATCTTTTGAACAGAAGTAGATGTTTATCACTTGTTTCCTGTTCTGAATTAGGTTTCTGGTTCTTTCTAAAGTATAGTTCAACTCTATACTTCTGACATCTGTCTAAATTCTGAAACTTTACCATTTATTTATTTTTCCTCAATAGATTAGATTGGTTCATCTATCATCTGGTTCACATACCTCCTGGGTCTTTGGAACAGGAGTAGAGGTTTATCCGTTGTTTCTTGTCCCAGATTGGTTTTCCAGTTCCTTATAAAGTCTACTTCAACTCTATACTTCTGATATTACTGCCTAAACTTTAAAATTTTATTTGGTATATTTCCTTTTTTTTCCTCAATAGGAGTAGATAGATCCACACTCCGCTCCAGTCTTTAGAAAAAGTGTAGAGGTTTATCCCTTATTTCCTGTTTAGGATTGAGCTTCGGCTTCCTTCTAAAGTTTTCTCCTTCTCTTTCACTCCCAGTAACTTCTTGTGTCTAAGTAGCATTATCGCCTTACTTGAGGTGAATTGATTAAATAAGTAAATAAATAAACCCTTACCTCATAAAATGCAAAGTTCCAGTGTGTATATGGATGTCGCGTAAACAAAAGTCGAGCACTACCAACAAGTTTTGTCACAGTGATTGAAAGGTATGCAGATTTGCCAAACATCAAGTCCACATCCACTGCCATCTGGAAACCACCTGAGTATTCAATATCCAATGCAATTTCAAGTACCTAAAAAACAAATAAATACTTAGAAATCTTCATAATTAATTAATATATAAACTTCTTTGAATACTATTGATTGAATAAAAATAATTCTGGTTTCAAATGCAATTTTTAACATCTGCAAGAAATCACTAAAGAAAATTTTCCTGTTTCTTTATAATACCTTGCTTAGCTTTTGAAAGGCATATTTCACTATCCCAATAACAAGATTACATTATATTTGTAATATGTATGTTTGTGGAAAGTTTATTGCTGAAAATGTCAGTCTTCCTCATTTTTAAAGCATTGTACAGGGTGCAACAAAATTACTTCCCACAATGATAAAACATTAGCTAGATGAAGACACCATTGCCACTATCTTAACATTGTGTGAGAGGTATTTGTGAGAGGTATTTATGTCACACCTTTTATAGCAAAAAAATAAGAGACCTACAACTGAATGAATATTATTGATTGTTGCTGTTACCAACCAATTAACAATCTAGTTTCAAAATTCCTCAGCATTGAAGATGCTAATATTAACAAGAGATCCATTAAGCAACAAAAAAGGAATATGACAAATATATATTTAATAAATATAAATTTCAACTACAATTAACACTGTTTGATTAATGAATGCCAAGTGTTTTTTGTCTGAAAACAGTTAATTTAGCACTGCCTGAGCAAGCAATCAACTCAGTCAATTTGCAAATCAAGTATAATGATCTTGAGTCACATCTTTCAAATCTTCCTGCTCAAATGTTGTCATGATCATGAGTCACATCTTTCATATCTCCTATAATAATATTTAGCATAAATATAAAACTGAATCAATCTTAACCCATCCCCTTAATAGATTAATATTTTTTTTAAAAAAAATATCACATATTCAGCTTTTATAATATATGAGGAAGTAGTAAAAAATTCCATATATATATAAACTTTTAGGATATTACATTGAAAAACATGTCAGTATTGCTACACAATTGTAGCATCTCATCAGGTGATTGTCTATCACCTGATGAGATGTGTTGATATGCATTGAAACAACTGCAATTGTATAGCAACTTTGACATGTTTTTCAATGCAATATCCTAAAATAAAGAATATTGCACTACTTTGTATGGAGCCCTCTTTTAAATTAAATGTTACAGACATTGAAATTACTATTCATTCTCATCTTACCTGGATATATATATATATATATATATATATGTGTGTGTGTGTGTGTGTGTGTGTGAGATTCAGACTAGTAGACTATTCAGACCAATAGAAAAAAGTAAATATACTGTTTAATAAATAAATGGACCATCTACTCAAATATGGATATCCACTAAAAGGACATTTAAAGTGAGGGAAGCTGTTAGATTAATACATAAAAAGTTAATTACTTCTTTAAAAATTGCTTTGTTTACATTCAGATATGAAACTGCGCAGATATGAATTATCAAGAATCTGGGAAGAATTTATGTTTATAAGGCACTGATCAACAATGCATACTGTAGCTGAGTTAGTCTAGAGCACATCAGATCTAACAATGGCTTCTCCCACACAAGAACATACAGGTTCAAATCCTGTTGGGGGTGCATATTTGGCTTTAATAAGATTTCTCGAATATTCAGACCAGTAAATAATAAATAAATATACTGTTTAATAAATAAATGGAGCAACTACTCTACTATTAATATCCACTAAAATAATGTGTAAAGTGATAAAATCCACCTAATATATGTCAGACTTTAACATAGGTATGTGTGTATAGGAAAAATATAACACATACAGAAGAATTTCTTAGACAAAGTAATAAATGTAAACTGGAAGAAAGGACTAATCATCAATTTGCACACCACATTAAACAAAAGCTTAGGAAGGAAACTCCAATCAATACTAGAAAGAGCATTAATATTTAATAGACTTGAGAAGGGTAATTATCTGAAAAACTGTTCACAATGAAAATTTTATAAATTTGAACCAAACAGTAATGCTGTTTGGCCAATAATGGCCAAATGTTTTCTGCATGGAAATAGTTAAACTCATCATTACCTTATATTATGCCTCTATATTTTAGATATTATTTGTAGAATTGGAGATCCTAAACTAGTTGGGTTATATAGAGATGAGAGACTCATTTTTGTTCCCAATAACAAAGGTCCACTTACTGTAAAATTACAGAAAAAATTATTAGAGCCTTTAAGTTACTGGAGTTTAAGATTGAGAGTACTTTTACCCTCAAAATTGTAGATTATCTGTATATCACACTTAACCTGAATAGTAATACTTTTAAACCTTAACATAAAGAAAATGAAACTCCCAACTATATTAATGTTGATCCTAATCATTCCTATGTCATCGTGAAACAGATATCCATTACTGCCAGCCCTAGAATTAGTAAACTTTCATCTAATAGAAATATTTTTAATAAAAATAAAGAATTGTATGACAATGGTCTTCAAAATAGTGACTTTGAAAATAAACTATCTTACTTAAACCCCATGAGTAACATTGAGGAGGATAAATTGTAAACAAGTGTATAATGTTTTCTAATTCTGGGGGATTCAGATGATAATTCTTTATGTAGAAAGTACTTTCAGTGCATACTAATAACAATATTAACAACTACAAACATATGTTAAAAACATATTACATCACTAGCATTTAAGGTATGTTTATTTAAAACAAACAGTATGTATGTAAAAACATTCCCAAATCAACACGCAAAAATCCAACAAACATAATGTCTACAAAAATAGAAAAAGAAAAATAATATGGTTCAACCCATTCCCTTCTATAGGTTATCCAACACTAATATTAGACAAGTTGTTCTGAAGTTAATAAACATTTTCAAAAGAATAACCCTCTAAGTAAGATCTTCAATAGGAAAACCCTCAAAATAAGCTATTCCTGTACAAATAATTTGTATAAAAACATCAACTCCAATAATTATATTCTAAGTAGATTCTATGTTATCAATAATAAACCTGGTATGGATCCCCCTGTAATTGTAGAAATAGCAAGCATTGTCCAGTTGAAGGAAAATGTAGAGCTTCAAATGTTATTTACCAAGCAACCATTTACCCCAAACAAAATAAGTTAAACTACAATATTTACACTGGAATTTCCACAGGGGAATGGAAACAAAGACTTTACAATCATAGGCACCCATTTTCAAACCCAAAATCAAAATACCAAACTACTCTTACCAAAAATTTTTTGGAATTGATGGAGAAAGATCTGAACCCCCAGATTAACAGGAAAATCACAGATTTTGCTCACAATACTAATAATTTTAAGAGTAGATATAACCTGTGTTTAGAGGAGGAGATTAGAATAATTCAGTTTGAGAATCAGAGCATACCACTAAACTAAAAGAATGAGTTAGTTTCCAAATGTCATCACAGGAGTAGGTTTAAACTGATCGAGAATATTATTGATCTTGCTTAATCTTATCTAACATATATCTTATCTATACTCCATTTCAATCCTATCTAATAACCTTCCTCCACCTTAGGTTTTTTTTCATATTTAAGATTTATTTTTTATTTATTAATTATTAATTTATATTTAAGATCTATTTTTATTTAGTTTTAATTAATATTATTTTATATTTAATATTTACTTATTAATTTATATTTAATAATTTACATTGGATTTTTTAATTTTATTTATATTATTTTATTTATTATATGTATTATTATTTGTATATTATATATTGTTTTAATTTTATTTTTAATTTTAGATGTTACCTTTTTACTTAATATATTTTTCAAAAATATTCTCTAATTTTTAAATACTTTTAAGTAATTTTCCTTACATAAACTATCTATTGATGTTTATTTTTCCTGAATTTTTGCTAGCACAGATTGTTTTTTAAAAAAAAGAAAAAGTATAAATTTTGTTCTTGAACTTTGAACTAATATTTACTATTTGCTATTTTAATTTTTAAGTTGTTTGAACTCATATCTTTAATTTTGTGAGTCTATTTCAACCTAAGTTGTGAGGTCAACATTTTAAAATATAGGTCAAGGTTATTTCAACTGCCTTCTCTAACCAGACACTCATACTTACCCTCTATTACATGGGGGTTGATTCTCTTCTGCGTCTCCCTTTTGATTCTTCTTTTCCTCTTTTATCCCTTAAATGCTTAAATTTTAATCCTCCTATTTTATATATAATGTTATATATATATATATATATATATATATATATATATATATATATATAATGTTATATATATCCAGTTTATACATTATTTTAGATCCAAATATTTAAGTAAATGCTCTGTTTATAATAAAGAATATTAGCAATATTTACCAGCCTGAATATCTGAAAAATTTTGAACCTGTATCCTACATGGAACCATCATATAGCCTGACATGCTATGCCATTTAGCTAAAGAGGCAATGCTTGGTTTAGCAAGTTCAAATTACTGCTTTTAAACTACAAATTTCCCATGTTTTCTATAAAGAGAAAATAATTGTTGAACTTTCATCCATTTTTATAATATTGTCATTTTTTTTTTTTTTAAGATATACTTCAAGCAGATATGAGCATTCAGGAGAACTCATGAACAAATTTTCCGCGATGGCAGAATCTTGGATGGAATCATTAATCGTAAACGGAACTGATTTTTTAATGTAATTCCCAATAATTAATTATTTGATTTTTTTTCATTTAATAAATAACAATAACATAAGTTATTTCCTTAAAATTTGTTTTTACAAATATTTAATTTGTAGTTATTTTCCTTCTAAAACCTGAAAAATAATTAAGAACAAAAATGTTTACAAAAAAAAAAAAAAAAAAAAGTGGGTTGTTGATTTTCTGAGAATATGTTGGCTAGTCTATTTTTAAATATTTTAAAACTTTTCTAAGAAACTGTATGTAGCAAATGAGATGAAAGTCAGGTAATGGCTTAGTTATTGGAGGGGAGTGAGGGAGAGAGAGAGAGAGATGAAAATTAAACTAATAAATTTAACAAATTTATTTCCTTTAAGGCCACACAATTTACAAGTAAAATTCTAAATAAT